TGATATTTCTTCTGATTGGCTGTTGTGATTACGCTGACGACGGTGCGTCGTGAGGCAGGAGTTGCCGACTGATTTTTTTTTTAATACGTAGGAGTGTTTTTTAACGGAAAACTTCACGCATCCTATATCCTTCGTCATATCTCTTCGCAGTCGACAAGGAGACAATATTAAGACTCAAAATAAATTGGTCTGTATGAGCTTGAAAAATTATAAAAACGAAAAGCAGTAATTACAAGTGATTCTAAAGTTCAGCTCCATCTAAAGATAAATGCGTAAAAATAATCCTCCAGAATTTGATTTATTCGTTTTTCTTCATTAAAATATCTTACGATAAACTTATTCATAAATTGTCGTAACCGACTTCTTATGATATCAAGTCGTTGTTAAGCAAAACGTGCTGCGATGAAAATGGTTTGATTTCACTACAAATTGTCAGAGCGAAAATTGTTTTGAAAAATGCTTGGCAGGCAATGTGGAAAATTGATGCTGAGATTGGGAGTGAAAACCAACAGATAACCCTTAAGGCAACGGCTCTGTTTAAGAATGGTGAAGAGTTATACGGAGTTCTTTCCCAGTCGTAATTTAGCTCGACTTTTTCCCGCTAAATATTGTTACTAGGGACGCTAAAACACAAAAAGAAATGTTGCGTTCCATTTTGCGCCATATAGGTTAAGGATTTTAAGAGATAAAACTGATTTTCTAAGACGAAAAGAAGTTTTTGTTCATGTCTTTTTGATCAGAGCTCCGTTGTTGGCAAGATGTCTCCATAAGATGTCATCGAGAATTTTTTATTTCCATATTCTTTTCTTTTGTAAAAATGGTGACGATGTGTCCGCACAGTCCCATAATTCATTATGCATACAATTCTCGGATAAAGAAAACAATGGCGGAAACAATTTAGGCTTGTCTTTGGGAGTACGGCTTTGTCTGTAGAATACTATAGGATAAGACGGAAATCATTCCAAATTGGTTCCTGGGTATATTGATGGCTTTTCACTAAAGTTATAATTGGCCTAAATATATTTGTGGATCATTCTCATAACACATCTCGTTAATTTTCAGGCTTAGTAACACTTCCTAAATATTTATTCGAATGCAGTAGGTAGACATTTGAGAACTTGTTTTAACATTTGATCTTCGTTATAAAAAAAACGTCTGTTATGATAGATATTCCTCTTCGCAAGAAACCTATTCATTTGTTGAATGAATTGGTGAACGCCTCGGTCCTTAAATTAATTACCTAAGATTGTAATTTTATCCCAATATCTTTTTAATAATTAACGTTTTTCATAAAAAAGCCTCCTTCATGCATGATGGTCTTCATAACTTTAAATCAAGTTCTCAAAGACCTCTTTAGCTTGTAGAGCGAAAGAGCTAACGAAAGGCTGACGATGGGCTAATTCTCGAAACACCAGCTTAGAAACTCTTTACGGTAGCCAATCGACATTGCAAACTTGATAAAACCAAGTTATCGTCTTATACCCCTCACTGACGCAGCACTACAGTTTCTTTTTAAATTCCCCCCTCCCCACCCTTTATTTACTTTTTAAGCTTGTATGTTTTGTTTACCCATCATCTGATCTCAAGAGAATTGCCAGCTTTATCTTCTGTAAATTTACGTATATATCCACGTAAATAAGAGGAAATTAGAAATAAATATTTCGCTAGAGTATTATGACACGACCTGAAATGGGTAAACCAAAACATACAACGTAAAATTTCCGCAGAGCCCCATACTACATTATGTATTCAGTTCTTGGATAGAGAAAACAATGACAAAAACAATACATCGTCATTGGGAAGACGGATTTGTTTTACAATAGTATGGGGCTGTGCGGAAGTTTTACCCCCAAACATAGTTCCATAGATGTTCTCTGACAATTTTGGTTCGACATACTCTTATTTCTTAGTAATCTTTCTGCCCGGTTGTCAACTTTGGTGTGTCATATATTACAATGAATTGTCATCGGAAGGACAGCCACTAGTACACATTTTAAACCCATTATGAACAAACCAGATGCTATAGCTTACCTTTGCGATAATTATTTCCTTCGATTTACTTTCGATGAACTTTTATGCTTTCTTTGAATACTTCCCTCGAACCTGCAAGGGACAATATGATTACTTAAGTATTATTTATCTAAATTTATGTCTGTGAAAAATTTATTCAAGAATTAAGACAGTTTATTGAAACCTTAAGTATTTATCAAGCTCAAACATTCAATTTTGATTCCTCTGCCCATCAACCACATTTATGTGAAATATCCTAAACGTTTATTCAACAGGAATTGGCTTTCACGCATTAGGCAAATTTTAACTCTGAATTTACCGCCAAGTGATGAATTTCCGTCTTTACGAGTTCTATAGACTAAGGCTGTCCTACTTTCAAAATCTATGAATAAAATCTTCTGTGAAAATTTCGGTTTTTGAACGAAGATGTCAGTATGCCATTGCTTGATGAGAACGACTTCGAAACATTTTCACCCATAATTCAAAATTATCTCAACTCCACTACGCCACTTGGACAACAACTTAAAATTTAAACATATTGTCATTCTTACCTTTTGTTTTGTTTTGAGCAAAATGCGGCGAGCGACTCCTCGAAGTCTCCGGCCACATTTAGACGTTGGACTTGATTCATTGACAATTTTCGTAGTTCTTTTTCGTCTGAGAAGTGAATCACTTCAGACCACGAGGAACCATAAAATGCAAATTACTTGATTCTTACACGTGCAAATTCAAGGTCGCGAATAAAAACCTGGGAACGAATTTGTTGGAAGTTTGGGGAATAATAGGATGTCTGGATGGGGTATTTTTGTTTAATTCCTTCTAAAAATTATTTATTCAACGCGCTAGATTAATTCAAAATGACAAGAACCCATTCTCCTACTTATGAACTATCAGCCATCAAACCTAGAAGATCACTGAATACAGGAGACCATGTTCTTTTGACTGAAATTTGTTACAATAACTTTTTATTATGTTGAAAGATTCCCATGCATTTTAATCCCTGAAACTTTGATACAACAGTCATCTCATTACAACCCTTTGTACGGGCTTCCTGTGGCCTTCGAGCGGGCTGTCATCAGCGCTGCGGCGCAAGCAACGAAACAGGCGAGAGGTCTGGCACTGGTCAGAGTCCCAGCGGATCTCTAAAAGGATACAGTTTTGGATGGCATCGAACCCCTGAGGTCGCTTCCATTTATGTATTGACTCTTTGCATGTACTTTTAGGACTTTTAATTATGAATCAATTAAGCTTTTCTCTATGGAGAACGTTTATGTAATCTATGTTTGTATTCTGTCTATTCGAAGATTGCACGCGCGTGCGATATAGCTCTCATTCTTAAATAATACTTTAGACAGTTATACAACTTTCAGACTGTGTTCTCGTCGAGAGAGAAACCCCCAAAATTTATTGAAACTCTAAGGAAACAATCAGGGCACAAATTGTCTACAAGTTTAATTGTAATTGCAACACACACAACAGTTGGTGACCAAAACACCTACAGTCTTACCACCACGTGTTCTGCTTCTTATTAATTGTGATAGGGAACAACTGAAATCGGACACTTACTAGTGACAAACTGGAAGAACTCAATGCGCAGACTCAAAACGGCGAAACCCGTGCGATTCAAGGTGGCGGGTAATATGAGCGTGAGAGAGGGCTGTGAAACGGGTCTAGCACTGGTTACATTGTCGTGTCTCAGAGCTTGGTCCTAAGCTGAGGCTTTGTTGCGGCCAGCTTTTGATTTCTTGCAGTTATCAAGGAAAAGATTACTGCACCTGTTACTGGCCAGCCTATCTAAATGCTTATTAAAACAGTCTCTTTTCACTGCATTTTTTTCCACGATATGCAATTCAACCTTTAGGTCACGCTATGAGTTTGCGCACTGAGTTCTTGCGGTTGTCTGATTGTTTCTTGCGGTTTGCAATTGACCCTTGAATGTCAATTTCCTTTTATTCCCCTTTGTAATCAACAAAAAGCAGAGCATTTGGCGATAAAATTTCGCAATTTGAAGGTGTTCTGGTCACGTACTGTTGTTTATTTTGCGAGGTAATAAAAATTCAACATGAAGACAATTTGTGCACTGATTGTTTCTGAGAGTTTCAATAAGTTTCACGGCTTTCTCTCTCGACGGAAACCCAGTCTGAAGGTAATATACTGTCTGTTTAAGGAAATAAATGGGAATAACTATTAACTCCCGCAAAAATCGGCAGAATACAAACAAGACGATAGCTATATTTATAATAATCTTAGAAGCACCTGCAAAAGATCAGAACATAGAAGAAAGAATCATTTACCGAGCAACAACCTCAGGAGAGAGAAATCTTAGACCCTATAACGTTCGCAACAACCCAAGATTGCATGAAACTGGACAGGAATGCCGATACTAAAAGGCCGTTGGTGTAACAAGTTTATCGATTTTTATCACGCGTGCCGTGATTGTCTCCTTATTTCTGCCACATACCTCTTTCAACTTCAGCTCTCATAATTTTATGTAAATCGAACAGTGTTCCTGTGTTGATGTTTTTATTACATCTCATCGCTTTTCTGCAAGACAATGTATTGATATTGGAAAGAGGAGGTAGTTCCATGTTTGAAAGGATTAGTTTGTTTCGTAATCATGAAAACGTTTCTAATTTAGATTTTTGTAAAATAAGGATCATTTTACATTGTAAAACCATCGTTCACGCGCGCAGCAGAGTTTGTGTTTACTTCTGCAAACTCCACTGATTTCCAGTTCGTTTCGTTTCAGTGCGTAAATTAAAGTAAGCCTCAAGTCAATGACTGAGAGAAGAGCCTATCAGTTGATGCTGTGGGATTGAATTGGTGAGTGTTTTCTGAAAAGGATATACTCGATAAGCATTGAAGAATATTTTAGTGCTTCTAGTCTATGTTATGATTTAGTGCACAGTTTTAGGAATGTTAACAGCAAAAAAACGTGACTTTAATTACCTCAGTTTATGCTGACGGAAAATTTCCTTTGTTGTTATGCCTCATTAGTATTCAAATATACAGAAATCGATCATACGATCGATAAAAACAAACTTGACAATACATCTCGTCGGGTGTGCGGTTGATTTTGCAGAGAAAGCTTATCGTGGGAAAAGGTAAGATAGTTTTTGGGTATGATCGTTGCAAAATGGTCAAGCATTACGTATTATTATTTCGGATAAATTTTTTTCAAGCATTTGCCGCTTTTACGGGCATTTAGCGGATAAAACGGTCATGTTAGATTATTGAATTTGAAAATGAACTGTGTAAGAGCTGAGTATTATCCCTGAGAAATTAAACGAGCGTTAAGCTAAAACCTCGCTAAGATCTTGATGGAAGATGTTTTCATTGTTGTTCTTTGAAGCTAAAAAGTGTTTCAGCTGTGAGAAAGCCTGAACAGGCAGTTGTTTTGCTTAACAGCAATGAAGTGAAGTAAGAATTCGTTAGGGTGATATGAGGAAGGGGCTGACCGTTTGTTATCTTAAAATAAGATCTAGCCCCCATAATAATTGCAACCTCTGGCCACTAGAATATGGTGCAGAATAACTTTCGTGCTTGAGGCAAAGCGTTTTTTTAACTGAATAACGAGTTTTCCACGGTGGTCATCCAAAATTTCTAAACAAGTAAACGGATCGACAAACAGCTCCGACGCATAAGATCAATTTTTAGTGTTTCCATTACCCCATGTAAAAACAAGACAAAGGACCTCTCTTAATCCTCAATAACTACTCATGAAGATGCAATATGACTCTTCGCTGTATTCTAAGAAAAAGAACCGTCTATTGCATTTACCAAGGTCAGTTACGCCGACTAAAGAAATGGCAAACAAGACGTTTAAATTTCCACCATTAGTAAACCGCATAAACGAACACACCGATCTCACTTTCATTTCGTGCGGGCCTCAACTGAACTCCGTCGAAAATATGCAAAGAAAAAAAACACTCTTGTTCTCGGCTGAAGCAGATATTTTCCTTCAGCGCCTTAAGGTTGAGAGCGGACGACCCTAAAAGCTTTTGCCAATAAGTATGTTGATTGACTATGAATTCGTAGCCGCGATGTTTACTCGTAAACTGATGCGTCATCTTTCTTCGGTCTTTGTATGGAAAACGAAAACAGATCAATCCGAACTTACAAAAAAGGGTTGTAAAAATACATTCACTTGAGAAAAGGGGCGAGTTCTTCGTAATATTTCGATCCATTGTGCAAAGCATAGTAAGGGCTAGACTTGGCTAGACTTGGCAACACAAACCTCGACGGGTTAAGAATAAATTAGCGACAGACGAGTGTCTTTTTTTTAAGTATGGCTGTGATTTATTCAGATTACTGTTAACTAACTTAAAAATAAAAAAAATAACTTACTTAACTTAAAACTTATTGTTTTGATAGATATTCCGAGAGAACACTAGCATCCAATCGTTCTTTTTCTTAAAACAGAAGTGAAGCTCGCGAAAAAGGTGATTCAGGGGTGTTTTCGGGGGTGTAATCAAGGGTTGATGAGCACAAACAATAGCTTGCGTACATTGTACAAGCGTCTTCTTTCCTTAATACCTTATTTCGGACAGTAAATGACTAAAGAAAATGAACAAAAGTGAATAGAATGAAGACAGCAATTTTCAATTGTTTGCCGAAAGTAATCAGTGATTGCTTTGTTTTTCCTTTGCATCAAGTTCAAGTTCAAAGTTTCATTCACCATCTTGAACCTTAACTTTGTGATTGGTCCAGAAAAGTCACACCACCATCTCAGCTATTTACTTGCAAAACTAAAACCCTCACAACCTGGTCGTCCGCCTTTTCTTGCGCTTTAGGCAGTTTGGTCGGTTTTATTTTAAGGTCTCATTGGCTCTTAATGGTATTTCGTTTCTTCTGAGTTGCCTATGTAGATGTGATTATTTTGGGTTTGGTTTAACAACACTCAATCGAAAAGTGCACTAATCAACCCAAACTGAAAACTCCAAAAGTGAAACTCAAACATGCGAAGCGTCTACCCAGGGGAATGGAGCTTTGAAAATATGCAAATTTGGACAGACTAAAAGTTCTACAAATCTAATAATGGTGACATGGACAATCCCGTGAGAAAGACCACCTATAGGTCTATTTCGTCTCCATATGCACGCCTTCATTTTTACGCGAGCTCTACTCACGGGAGACTTGAGTTTTAATCAGTGGAATGACTTGGGAAAAAGCATATATGGATATTTATTTTTGATTTTTTTGTTCAGGTGTGCAATCATGGTTTTTGGCGAAGCTCTAGTGTTGGCGTTCCTGGCCACAACAGTAGCCTTATTTGGTGTGTCTGTGCACAGTATTTTCACATCCAAGCACAACTCGCTGATGGAATTGAGAAAACTGGAGGATCAGATGATGGAAAAGTACGGCTGGAATCCTTCAATGCCTTACAATGCATACAACTAAAGATAAAAAGCGTAGAAGAAAAGCTTAAACTGGATTTTTCAACCAGATAATTGCTGGCCTTCAGTAAGTGTGAAGAAACTGTAGATCGAGGTTGCATTGGAATTCCAAGTTCCACAAGAATTTTTTTTGTATATTGGCGTGTTAATTACAACACCGTAGAAGGACTGATCTGCAAAGATGACCTAAGAAGTTTTGCCCTGGTTTTATTATAAGCTTAGCACATTTACGAGATATTAACAAGAAGAAACCTACATGCTTTCCTTTAGAGTAACGTGAACCAGCTTGATACAGTTGTGTGATACCTGATTAACAATTTAGCTTTTAAAGGTATTTATCGGTTCAATGTTATTTGTAGGTTAAAAATTTTTCATCGAAACAATCTTACTGTCAAGATTGTGGTCAATCGAGTGTAGGATCCGGAAATGAGTAAAGATCTAGTAAGATCTAAATTAAACCTTTTTTTATCTTTAATGAGAACCTTCAGTAGTCCTTCAGCTGACGGCCAGCTTTCTTCTGAGAAACGCGACAAACGGGTTTCTGAAAATATACTCGTACAACAGTTTACAACTCTTCTGAAAATAATTATGCTGAGGACCGGTTGTTATTTATTGCCCGGGAGGGGAGGGGTAGGAATTTTGGTCTTGTTACGATTAAATTTACCTGATCCCCCATAAAGCTCTGTAGTAGTCTTATGATTCTCGCTTATTGGCAGTTAATTAGCAGTTAATTTTATATAGCCTCCTTTTAGTCTACTTTAGGGACGATTGATGCCCCCTCTTTTTTCCAAAACCCCCTCCCCCCACCCCCACCACCTCAGGCAATAAATGGCAGACTATGTTCTAACTTGCAGATTTCTGTTGGGTAAGCCTCTCACTTAGTAAAGACGCTAGTTTGCACGCTGAGTTTTTTCACTTGTAAATGTTAAATCGCTATTATTCCCCCACCGTGATTTAAAGAAGCAGACAGCGTAACGGGAAAATTTAACATGTTTTGGTCACGTACTGTCGTGTAGTTTGCGAGGTAATTAATATTCAGCATGTAAACAGTTTGCGCTCTGATGGTTTCCTGAGAGTTTAGATAAATTAAATTGGAGGGCTCTCTCCAGACGAAAACGAAATCTGAAGATTTTGCACTACCTGTATTTTGCTACATGCAAAAAAAGTCTCGCTGAAACGAGCATCGGAAATTCTCGTTCTTTCTTCCGTCCTTTTATAACTAAAAAAAAAACACTTGTAGACATGAAAAATGTGCCACCGACTTGTCTATAAAATAGAAACAGATGGCAAACAAGACGTTTAAATTTCCACCATTAGTAAACCGCAAAAACGAACACTCTGATCTCACTTTTATTTCGTGTAGACCTCAAATGAACCCCGTCAAAAATATGCAAAGAAAAAAATAAACACTGTTTTTCTCGGCTGAAGCAAATATTTTCCTTTCAGCGCCTTAAGGTGGACAATAGACGAAGCTAAAAGCTTTTGCCAATAAGTGTCTTGATTGTCTATGGATTAGCAGCCGCACTGTATATTTGTAAATACGTCATCTTTCTTCGGTCTTCAAATGAAAAACGAAATCAGATCAATCCGAACTTACAAAAACTGGTCGTAAAGATACAGATACTGATATTGATCCAGATACGCTTACTTGAGAAAAGGACCGAATACATCGTACCGCTTTGATCCATTGTTCGTAGCATTATAACGGCTAGACTTGGCCAGACAAACCTCGACGGGTTAAGAACAAATTAGCGACAGACGAAGTATGGCTGTGATTTATGCAGATTAATGCCAGCGAACTTAAAAAAACAACAAAACAAACTTAATGTTTAAGTAGATATTCTGAGGGATCACTGGTATCCAATTGTCTGTTTTCCTTCTAGAAGAAGTAAAGCTCGCGAAAAAGGTGATTCGGGGGCGTTTTCTTGGGTGTAATCAAGGGTTGATGAGCACAAACAATAGCTTGCGTACATTATACTAGTGTCTTCTTTCTTCAGTAATTTATTGCGGAAAGTAAATGAATAAAGAAAATGAACAAAGAAAATGAACAAAAGCGAATAGAATGAATAGAGCAATTTTTAATTGTTTGTCGACAGTAATCAATGATTGCTCTGTTTTTCCTTTACATCAAGTTTAAGTTCAAAGTTTCATTCACCAACTTGAACTTCACTTCGTGATTGGTCCAGAAAACTCGCACCACCATCTCAGCTAATTAGTTGCAAAACTAAAACCATTACGACCTGGTCGTCTGACTTTTCCCGCGCCTTAGGCAGCTTGGTTGGTTTTTTTTTAAGGTTTCATTGGCTCTTAATGGTATTTCGTTTCTTCTGACTGACCTTCGTGATTATTTTGGTTTTGGTTTTACAACGCACAATCGAAAAGCTCACTTACTAGTCGAAACTGAAAACTCCAAAAGTGAAACTCAGACATGCGAAGCGTCCACCCAGGGGAATGGACTTGAAAAGATGCAAATTTAGACAGACTGAAATTTACACGAAACTATTTATGGTGATATAGACAATCTCGTGAAAAAAACCACATACTGGTCTATTTCGTCTCCGCATGCACGTCTTAATTTTTCACGAGCTCTACCCACGCGAGACTTGAACGCTTCACGCTTGCATCGCGGTAAGATGAGTTTTAATCAATGGATGACCTAGGAAAAAGCATGTATGAATATTTTTTTGTTATATTTTCGTTCAGGTGCGCAATCATGGTTTTTGGCGAAGCTCTAGTGTTGGCGTTCCTGGCTACAGCAGTAGCCTTATTTGGTGTGTCTGTGCACAGTATTTTCACATCCAAGCACAACTCGCTGATGGAATTGAGAAAACTGGAGGATCAGATGATGGAAAAGTACGGCTGGAATCCTTCAATGCCTTACAATGCATACAACTAAAGATAAAAAGCGTAGAGGAAAAGCTTAAACTGGATTTATCACCTAGATAATTGCTGGCCCTTAGTAAGTGTGAAGAAACCGTAGATCGAGGTTGCATTAGAATTCCAAGTTCCACAATAATTTTTTTTTGTATATTGGCGTGTTAACTACAACACCGTAGAAGGACTGATCTGCAAAGCTGACCTAAGAAGTTTTGCCCTGGTTTTATTACAAGCTTAGCACAAACATTTACGAGAAATTTAACAAGAAGAAACCTACATGTTTTCCTTTAGAGTAACGAGAACCAGCTTGATACAGTTGTCTGATACCTAATTAACAATTAAGCTTTCAAAGTTATTTATCAGTGAAATGTTATTTGTGGGTAAAAATTTTCATCGAAACAAACTTACTGTCAAGATTGTGGTCAATCGAGTGTAGGATTCGGAACTGAGTAAAGATCTATTGAGATCTAAATGAAAGCATTTTTTTTATTTTATCTTTAATGAGAACCTTCAGTAGTCTTTCGGCTAACGGCTTTCTTTCTTCCAAGAAACGCGACCAACGGGTTTCTGAAAATATACTCGTACAACAGTTAACAACTCTTTTGAAAAAAAACCGAGCGTTTGAAGAACAGTTTTATTTTTAGCAATGTCTATAAGATGTAGATAATTTTTCTTATTCTCTCTTTTGTTATCATCAGTATTTGTAAATATCCCGTAATTCAGCCTATGGCTGCAATGGTGGTTAATAAAGTATCTTATCTTATCTAAAGAAAATAATTATGCTAAGGACCAGTCGTTATTTATTGTCTGGGAGGGGAGGGGTGGGGTTTTTAGTCATGCCGCGATTAAATTTACCTGATCCCCCATAAGGCTCTCTGGTATTCCTATGATCCTCACTTATTGGCAGTTAACTGGCGATTAATTTTCTATAACCTCCCTTTATACTACTTTGAGGACGACTGATTCCTCCTCTATTTCCCTCCCTAAACCACCCGCCTCCTTCCTTCCTTCCTCTCCCCCCCTTCCCCCAAACACCACCTCAGGCGATAAATGACGGACTTTGTTCTAACTTGCAGATTCGATAAAGCAACCATGATAACGATAGCCTGCTCTAGGCGTTCAGTTTGTAAAAGGAAGGGAGAGTAGCGGCGGAGCGAGAAAAATGCAGGAGACTTAATTGGCTCTGTTCGCGTAAAGGAGGGGGGCTTGGGTCGAGTTGCCTCGGACCCAAACTTCCCTCGGAGTTATGTTCCGATGAAAAGATAATGACCCTCACGTCAATGTTTTTTCTATGAGTTGGCACCTGCAGTGACTAATAGCTTTGTGGTAAATTAATGCTTTTAATTTCTTTTCAGAGAAAAAAAATAATGTGGTGTACCAAAAAACCATTTTCCCCTAAAGACTCGACCATTTACATCAGACTTCCGCGAGGAAAATAGATAATCTGTTGATAAAAGACATCAAATGATTCTTATCACTGACGGATCTGCCTGGTTTTCAAGTTGCTTCGCAACGATATTTTTTATGTAAACAGAAATAGGTTATTAAAGTCAGTGGTATTGAGAAACTCGCTCTTTCTCACCACCAACATTAAAATTAAACTTGTAACCTTCCTAACTCTGATGTGCAGTTTTAACGAGCGATGAACATTGGTGACGTCCTCAAAATTAACATTATAAAGCTCTATTTTAAATGTGTAAATGATTTTATGTTAAAACTAAAAATTTGAAAATGTCAGAACTTAATGAAACATTGGACAGCTTTGTTTAATTTTTCAAACGGCTGGATGAGAGACCATTGTCTTTTGCCTCCTTAAGTTTAGTTAATGTTTGCAATAGCCGCACAGTCCTTTTAACCATAACTCAATCATCAGTCAAGGTGTCATTAGTTTTAAAACAGAGCACCGAAAGGACTTGAAAAAGGAGAAAAAATACAACTGTTATTTAGTGAGAAAAACCACCAAGTCGGAAACAATGATAGGGTTAAAAATTACAGGTGAGATGATAATATATACAGCGAATACATAATACCTTTTGACTCAAGAAGCAAAATAATTCTTCTCTCTCATATCATGATAAAAAAACAAATGAGTTAGAGGTATACATTGATAATCTGCATGAGCATATGTTGTGTCTCAAAAGTGTTGTTGAATTTCTTCTGTAAAATATATCTTTAGTCACCCATTTTGCTGCTGCTAAAGAGTAAACGGTGTGTTTGAATAGCTAACTTAAAAATATGAAATATTTTAGTTTGAAAAGGATGTGTGAATCATGTGAGGAAATAGGGGAAACATATGCGAGACAAGATTGTTTCGAGATTTCAAATAGATAAATTGTAAATTCATCATTCTTAGGGCTGTACCTTAGAAAATCCTTTTCTCATTCAGTTAAATAAATAATTAGAAGTTATGAAAAAAACGTTTTTATTTGGAGTGAACAGACAAAGGGAAAAACTTAAAATCGTACGAGCGTCGTAATTACTATGCTGTTTTTTGTCATACACATGATGACTCAAGCTTTGATAAGCAGGCTGTGAGAGCATAAGTCGTGAGCCAGCTGACATAACATTTCTCGACGGGTCATCAAGATGTATTCAAGAGGCTTTATTGCTTTTTCCAAGGGGTTCTGCTCATGAAAGGCCATGATAGGGAAACCGTTTAACACTTTAAATCCCACGATCTGATTGTTAATTCTCCCCTCTAGCTGCTACACACTTCCTGGGGAATTAGTTACGAGAATTTGGTGTTAGATTAAGATAACAACTTCTGCCTAATGAGTTTGAGTATTCTCATTATCTGTGCGCTGGATTATGTATGGATATCACTAGGAGAGGTTACAAGTTAATCACTTCTGTGGCGTCCTGAAGCTCATATTGAAATGCCACTCGCTTATTATCCTAATAAACCGGTCATTATCTACCGCCTGTGGGGGGAGGGAAGGGGGGTAGCAGAGGATTTTGATGCGTCATGATAAAATTTACCTGATCCCCGATTAGGCTCTTAATATTCTTATGAATTCCTGGCCCCTCCTCATGGTCAGTCAATTGACAGCTAGAAATTATAATCTCTTGTTGGCAGTTAATTTTCTGTAGCCTCCCCTTTGTGGACTCTGTTGACGACGACTGTTCCCCCCATCGTCACTCCAAAAACCATGTGACTCCTCCTCTCTCTTCCCCCTCCCCCCCCCCTTCCCGAGACGATAAATAATGACTGATCAATGGATTTAGGCCGGAGTTGTAAAAATGTATATAATTTCTTCCAAACAAACAAAAATATTCTAAGACATTGGTTATTTGATTTTTCAGTTTTTAGCTGGAGTTTGTGGTACATGGCGGCATTTGCAAGTATGGTAAACTTGTTTAATTTTTTCTTTTATTAGTTTTGATTTAATCTCCTCCATCGAAGAGGAACTGTTTTACTTTTCCGCTAACCCGCCTGTGGATCTCCCGGTTAATTATATACAAACACAACTAAGGTCCAATTTCAAAATGATGTTTAAACCTTAAACTTAACTACAAAAGTTTTTTACTTGTTTCTCGGTCATTTGTTTCTTCGGCTCATTAATGTTTATCGGTCAGTAGTCAGTAAACTAGTCAGGTCAGCAAACTAATCAATTAAATTGCATTGTTCGCCCGAGCCTCCACCTCGCCTAATTATTTGCGCTCATCGTGGCTGAAACTGGTATGTATTAAACACCAGCTCTATCCATCGTGAGCGCACGGTCAGAGAACTCTTAAGTTGAATTGTGTTGTTCACCCACCATGGCTGAAGCTGCTGTGTTACACACCAGTTTTATCTATTAATGAGCGCATCCATAGGCTAGTTACATTGGAGAACCAACCTGTATCGCAGGTGTCTTTTTGGGGCGAGTTAACATCATAGGCACGCGGTGGAGAAAGACGAGAAGATTTCTATCGCTCCGTCCCCACCCTCTCCTTACTTTTTAACCGTCGCTCATCCCCCCCCCCCCCAAGCCTTCTACTGTTATAAAAATAAAAATCAAAGATGGCGATTATAATTTTTTTAACCAAGATAATAGTGAGCGCTAGTTCGCCAAAGTTACGCCAGCTGTGCCGGCTAAGAAGCAACATGTTAACCACATTTCTGCCCACCCCACTGCCCTTTTATCTCCTCTCGTCTCTCTATTCCCCCTACCCCTCCCATGCTAAGTCATTCATGGTCTCAAGTTACTTACTGTTCCAATTTGTTTCATACCCTATATAATAATGGCGCCAGCATCTTGCTCAGATAGAGGTTATTTTTGTTGGATTTGGAAGACCACTGGCAAATGCAAAAGGACTTCCGACTATGCTGTGTACAAATGCCAAAAGACATGCAACTTTTGTCCTGTCCCGACAGGTGAGTAAAGGCAAAAATGTTTGAATGAAGCTAAACTAAATCTTAAGATTCCATTGAAGCAGAAAAAAAAGGTTATCAAGAAACCCTGGACGATTATAAAGGTCGTATCAAGGTATCGTCGACTTGACACGTCACTAACGACAAGAATTAGAAATTGTCTAAGATCAAGTGGTGACTGATTGGCTTTGTCAGACCACATCTGATTGATTGAGAAGATGGCGCGAGGTTAAGGCGAACGGAAAAACCTTTGAGATTTTTTCTATTTTTTCTTTTCACTTCAAATGCATGTGTGCGGGGCAAAAGAATCGGCGACAGTTCTCCTAAATGATTACAACGCAATCAAGAATTCATTAAGTTCATTAAAAACAGTGAGTGTGGTTGCAATACAAAACTCTGTACCCTCTGTGCAGTGTTTCCCATAAACCGTGCGCCCTAATCGATGCTCCCATACGAATGTTCAACCTATAAATTCTCGTATGCGACTAGCTTCAGTTATGGACGCTTTTTCTGCTTCTAGAGAACCTGCTTACAAAAGCGTCTGAACTTCATTTACCACTGTAGATAATAAAAACAAATTCTCTTTGAATTTGTTGCAGAGGCGCCGAAACCTACGGATATACCACCAACATTTACAACAACTGACCAGCCTTCGGAGTGCCATCTCGAAAAACTTCTACCCATCAGCAGAGAACGTGTTCGGGACAAACAGCTACAGGGTCACGTGATTTACCACCAGTCTGTTGTATCAGAAATTCAATGCGAGGATCTTTGCCTTCGGATTCCCAGATGTTTGGCTTATAATTATCAGTATTCTGGAAAGCATGACGAGAATGAGAGGGCCTGTGAACTGATGAACAGTGTGGTAGATGTAAAGAGCAGCGTTGGTTTCAGCTTCCGACTGTTCGAGCGCAATAGAGCCAATAAGGTGCGTGGAGAAGTGATCGATATTGAAATTCTCTTATTAGAATTTCGCAGGGGAGCTTTCATAGGGAGCTTTCCTGTTTATTTTTCTTGTTTCTAGTTTGTTGGTTTGTTTCTGAGTAAAACACGAATCTTTATTGTTCGCTCGCGCACGATGCCCGAGGGTCGCGCTCGCACGGGCAACCCAGTTACAATCACTACAGTGCTATGCGCAGTCGATCCAGACGTGGAACGAATATAGATATGATTTAGAAAATTACTAAAGATAAATCATGCAATACACTTTCCAACAGTTAGTTTACATCTCTAGCATATTCTTCACATCGGTAATCTCCTTTTTTTCTTATTGAGTTGTTGCAAACCAGCCGTTTTCTCTCCTCTTTCTGTTTTTTTCTCTCGCGTGCGTCCTTAGAAACTCACGCTCTTTCCACTAGTACGCTTACCACCTGAGTTACAAGCAATTTTCTGAGTTGAAATGAAAGAAACTTTATCTTTCTTTTTCAGTATTTATTCAGCAATTGCCTTGGTGATACGTGAAACCTTCTAATCTGATAATGGGCGACCAATTCAAGACTGAACAACACTTTCCTCTTTGTGGATTAAGGAGAAAACCCATCGTGTATACTTACTACTCTTCTCTCACTTCAGTAGCAAACACACACATCCTACTGTCTCCGGGCGTGATACTTGGAATATCAAGGGAAAGAATCTAACATTTCTAACCAATAGCTGCACTATCATCTGCGTTTAAAGCGCAGTTGAGGGCATACAGCGGAGACAAAAGACCTTTCAATTGCTTATCAAAACTTAGTATGTCCCTCCAGCTTATTACCTAGTATATGCAGACTGTCAGTTTTAACCCTTTAACTCCCAAGATCTCACTAGTAATTCACCTAAACTACTATCTGCCATGTAGTTCTTGTGATGTTAGTTTGGAGAATTTGGTATTGGATCAACTAATAATCTCCTAATTAATATTTTTCTTTATTCTCATCACTTGTCTGCTTGATATTGTATTGATATTGTAAGGAGAAATTCTGTCTTAGTCACTCATGGGAGTTAAAGGGTTAAGTCAAAATGCGAGGTGTTAGTAAATATATCTTATCAGACGTTTTGGTGTGTGGTATTTCTGGGTATTTTAACGAGTTTTTTTGTATTTTGACCCGCCTTACGGGCTCGTTACAATATGGCACAGTTCCTAAGAATACTAAGGGATAACACGCACAGAAGTGTCTAATAACTTATTCAATATCGTACTGCTTTATCTTAAATCAGGAATCCATTATCATTTAGTAATGGCTCCTTTTTATATGCATCTCTTTGAAACACTTAATGCCAGCTGAGCCAACCTGTGATGCAGATGTTTTTATTTTGCATTAAAACAAATAACCGTACACTATCGTGGCTAAAAATCAAACATTTATTTTTGCTTGTGCACGATTGGTCAAAACGCATCACGTGACCAAATATCCCCCCCCCCTCCCCGACTAAAACTAAATAATGCACTCGTTTCGCGCATTATTTTTACCTTACTTAGTGCAGTTGTATAATAGTAATCTATGACTTCGTAATTAAAGATATCCTTAATTTGTCATATACTTGAATATAATCTTGGACCCAGATCCTACCGTCTACCTGTAACTGGGATGTGTAAACCGCTTGGCCGTGGATATTTACAGCAAAGATGCCTAATGAAGGTTTTTGTATTAACTAGCCTCTTCACCGTCAAAAACGTTCATTGTGTTACACATTGACTTTTTAGTATTTCCCAGCACACCTTCGTCTTTTATTCTCAAACATTAGCTATCTGTTTTATCGCCTTGTATCAAATTTAATAAATTGTTGACGCGTGATTTTATCTCTTCGGCTGCTCGGAGGTAGATATGTAGTACTTGCTTATCACACCCTATCTAGCCAGTCAGAGCGCGCAAAAAGCACTATTTACCCTCTCAGGTGTGATCACAATTTTACAAAAAACAACCGCAAGAAAAACCAAAATAATCAGGGATATTAAAAGAAATATAAAACCCACCCATTCATACATCAAGAAACATTTCAAATAACTTTCTGGAAGTTGTTTTGTCTGTTCCATGTTCTCTGCCACAAAAAAAAACTCCAACAATTTAAAACTATGCCCTATAGCCATTGCCGAAGCAAAATCGCACCTTTGATAGTCTGCCAATTTTTTCCTGAAATAAAAACCGGGTATATCCACCGGTTGAAGGCCAATTTCTTTGGCTAAGACACCTATGTAGGCATCTTCGACAGGGAACACAGGTCTTCTTTCTACTGCTTCTAGTAGAGAAGGAAGAACATCCCTGGAAATAATGTAAGACGCACCTATGCAGTAAGAAGGATAAAAATCTTCAGCCAGGCAGTCTCTAGCAACGCAGTGTTTCGATTCCTTTGCTCGTACTACTGGACCATTGTCACCACCAACGAAACCACCGTATAATTTATCCCCTGCATAATTATTATTTGCATAATTATCCAGCCATGATAGCAGTCGAGGAACACGAACATAAACATCGTCATCTGTTTTGAGGATAAAGCGTGGGTTTACATGAATCAAACTCCATAGCATCTCAGACAAAATCTTAATCACTAAATTTTTGTAACTATCCGTCATGTTCAGCACAAGAATGTCTTCAAAAAAGGCCGCTTCTTGGCGAATTTCTTCAGAGCGTTCGGCGTCGAGAGCTTTGCCTATAACAAAGACGCGCTCCCAGTTTCTCCGGCCACTTTTGATCGACTTGTCACCCCATGTATTACGTATACTGTTTCGTCGCTCTGAATGCAACTTGTCAACTCCAGATGTGATTAAAACCAAAAGGAAAATACTTGTGCTGTTGGTGTGCAGGGTTGGTTGCGTGACATGAGGAGCGAATGAAAATGTCAACTGAGAGCACTGCCAACGAACGTTCTTGAGTCGTGGGTACATGGTCGTAATGTCATTGAAACTCGAAGAATTAACTCTAAGTTGTCCTTCCAGTCCCTCTTCCTTCGTGAAAATCCTTTTCCGTTTCTCATTTGGATAGTAAATGTTTAAATAAATCACTACTATAGCGACATTTAGAAATCCTACAACTGTCACAATTTTACAAAATGCTCTTTTCATTGTGCCTGTGGATATTGCACCGATGTAGCCGTGAGTTGTGAATTTAGTCTTCCTGAGAGCTAAAACAGCTGAAACTGTCATTCGACAGGGTCAGCATTAGATTCTATCCACCAAAACCACCTCGAAGGACTTCGATGGAATGATGGACAACTCATGACCAAAGTTCATAAACTATCCAAAATTCATAAACCGGGAATTCCTTTGAGACCCATTGTCTCTTTTGTTAATTCTCCGACTTATGCAATTTCTGGTTATCTTGCGAGAATTTTGTCACCTGTTGTTGGGAATACTGATTACACTGTCAAAAATTCCTGGGAATTTGCGGATTTCATAAGAGATAAAACTCTTAACGCTTGTGAAGAATTAGTATCTTTCGACGTTGTTTCGCTGTTCACTAAAATCCCAGTTGATCTTGCCGTGCCGGAGGAGAGATTCAGAGAAGATGCTTCCCTGGGACAAAGAACTTCTTTGCCTGTGGAGGATATTATTCATCTGCTGTCTTTTTGCCTCAAAACCACGCAATTTACATATAACGGTACCTACTATAAACAAGTTTTTGGTACAGCGATGGGTTCGCCCGTCTCTGCTGTCATTGCTAACATGGTAATGGAAGACGTGAAAGAAAGGGCCTTAGCTGCTTCACCGGTTAAACCCTTTTTCTGGAAACGATATGTCGATGATGTTATTTCTGCGGTATCCGGAAATGAAGCGGAGCGCCTCCTGTCGCATTTGAATTCAGTAGAGCCGTCGATCCAATTCACTCTTGAGAGAGAAAAGGATAGACATTCGCCCTTTCTTGATTTAAATGTGTCCAGAGGTGTTCAGGGTAATTTAGAGACAAGTGTCTACCGTAAACCTACCCACAACGAAAAATACCTCGCTTTCGATTCTCACCACCCTATTTGCCACAAAAAGTCCGTAGCCAAAACTTTACTTAGGAGGGCTGACTGTCGACCATCTTCACTCGATTCGAAGGCTGAGGAATAGCCACTACGTTAAAGTTGCTCGAAAACCTTTTCAGACTTTGGGGCATATTTTCGCCAAACCTAAGGTTCCTGTCCCGAAAGAACAACGAACCGACGCCATTTATTCTATTCCTTGCAATGACTATGACAACGAATACATCGGACAGACCAAACATCAGTTTGGTACACGTTTAAAAGAGCATCAAAAAGCGGTTTTCTTTTGCAAAAAGGAAAATTTCACATTTATTTCAAGTGACCTTTAATTTCACATGGATAAATAAGTATACACTCAAGATGCAGAATGTCTTGCATTTTACAAATTATTTCCCTTTTTATGGATAGACAGTGAAAGGTCTTTGCCACATTGGTGAATCAAACCAATGTATACCATGTATTTTGTGATAATTGTTTGTTTTTGCTAAAAATATCTAAAACAATGCAGGGGATAAATTTAAATAGCAAATTCTATCAATGGTTAAAATTAAATAACATTGGAAGATCAAATTAACATTGTACTGTTTAAAATTCAGTTTTGGTTTTTCTTGCTTATTCCAGCCTCTTAATATTCAAAAGCATTCCCTGTCATTTTTGTGTTCTTTTGTGTAACATAACTTGAAAAATAAACCCAGAGAAAGGAAACCACAAAGGATTAAACTTGAAGCTAAAGCAAAGTTTAAGTTGAGCCATAGCTGATCCAAATACTGAGCACTTTATATTGTAACCCGTTTAACAGTAAAGTTTATCTATATGTCTTCCAGCTTGTCACAAGCCTTACCCCTCTCCTCCAAAAGTCTCTATAAACAAATTTTTCTTTGTGGCCCCTAATTGATGATAAGTGTATTACAGCTCCTCAATTTCCCTCTCTCAAGACAAGGTTACTCTTAATTTAACAAAGTAATGGACTTGATAAAACTCAAACTAACTCAGCTGGCTACTACTCGCAACCTTAATTTCTTGATATCAGTATGCAATAATCAATATGTTTTAAATAAGAACCCTAATGCTTAATTTTGCAGTGATCACCTTCCTCCTTTTCATTTTCAGACCAGACTGGAACCTCCATAGGTGTGTTTGCTTGTTTTGAGTGGGGATGGAAGAAAAGGAATCATGCCGCATATCTGATTTATTACACCAAATTCGTTCTATTTATAGATGGGTAGAACTACCTTATTCTCTGAAAAAAATAAAATTTATTGTATTTTTATCTGTACTTTGTAGTCAAACTTCCAGACACTTTCAATCAAAAAGCTTTGCAGAAGCAAACTTAATAAAATGTTCAAAGTAATAAGAAAGCAGTTTCTGCTCTTGTACAGCCCGGAAAACAGGATCAAAAAGTATGCGTTAGACATAAATTCCTTTGCTGGTAAAAACAATAATGTCACACCACCTTGCTCCCACAACTGCCATATGTCCTTGGACTTGGGCATAGTACGGGTGGTTTCTGCTTCAATTTACACTCAGAAGCACTTATCTGTTCCATGAAGAACTTTGCATCTGTGCAAGCATCAAGGGGTGTAACATGATATTTGGTGTACAGGCATTTTACTTCTGCTATCCTAAAGTAATCAACACAGCCCAAGTCAAATACTTGTGCATTCAGGGTGGCACCTAAAATTGGACATTCTCTAGACACCACTAGTCCACAGGGCAGTACCTTAACCTTAAAATAAAGTAAACTTGCACATTTTAAACATCATCGCCAATATGTGGTTACAGAATCCTACTTTTCCTGCCACACACGAACATGAAGCACTCACCACTTCTCCTGACAAGATACATGGGCAATTTTCAGATTATGAGGAGGGTCGCTTTTCCTGAAACTGTGGCAACACTTCCCTTTAAAAAAAAGTACCTGGAATCACTCACACATTCAATATCCTCTAGGTATTCGTCGTCTAAAAAGCGCCTGGTCTTTACTTATCCGATCGGAACGGAGTGGTGTTCCACATTGGCGATGCTTTTCCAGACTTAAAAATATGGTGATTCATTTGGAGCCATGTTTTCAAGTGAAGTTCCCCATCCAGAACTGGGAAACTGTACTGATTCATTACTGTTAGTGTCAGGCTCAGAACTCGTGCCTTGCTTTTCCTTTCTACGGCTGTATATTTTGTGAGAATCTGGATCCACAACCTGTTTAGCTTTGCCTGTTCGTATGTAGTCAAATGTAGGTATGCACTCGCTTCACCAGCTCTGCTTTGTCTTCAATCCTTTCCCCGCGTCTCCACGACATTTAAGCCAAAATTTAAGCTCTGAAATTTTAACTCCTCAGGTTTTCTTCCAAGAAGAGAAGCACCAGATGTATCGTTTTCCGTAAGAAATATCGGATTAGAAACATTCGAAGTACTCGTAGTTTGACCTTTCTGACCGCGTTTTTATGTAACTCGATCCAGGACTCTCGCGCTGTCCGCCCTTATGAAAAGTCTGTCAGGATTTTCTGTGGCTCAGTGGTTGGAGCATCGGAGCGCGGAATCCGAAGGTCTGAGGTTCGATTCCTCATGGGGACTCAGAATTTTTTCTTTGTCCTACGCTCGTGACAAGACGAAAAAAAGATATCTTTTCTAAAGTAATTTACTTTTGAAAAGCAGCAAGGTTTTTATCATAACAAGGTCATCCTTAGCTGTCACTCCTGTTCAAAGGTTTGGCAGCACACAGCTGGAAATGGACTATTGCTAACTAAGTCTGTTAATTCTTGAAGGTTACTCAGTCCCATCTGCAGAGGCCGAAAAAATAATTTTTTTCTCTTATTTGACTTAACTGAATGCAAAAATTTTACCTAACGTTTCCAAAAGAAAAAAGTTTTTCAATCTGCAAAAGCACCCGAGTCATTTAGAAAAACGTATTTTCAAATAAAAGTTAATAGATTAGGAAGTTGTCATAATCTCGTACCAGAGCGAACCCCTGGGGAACGTATTTCATGTTATTTGCATATTTTGATGACTTTCTGGTTACTAGAATTTACAACTAGAAAATGGCGTAGCTTAAAGTTGAAAATTCTAAAAACTGAACGATTTTAAAACAAAATTTTCTATTGCACAACACTTTTGGGACATAAAATACACAAATATGCTAAGAACAAATTTAAAAAGACAAGCAGCGTTACCGATAGGTAAGGAGAAATATTGAACGAAATGATTATACGCCTACCGGCCACATTGATTGGTATAGATTTAACTCCCGGCATAAACGAATTTTTCCAAAACACTAGCTCTCCTAAGTAAATTAAAATGAAGATGCCAGCTCTAATGAACATCACAAGGTTTTGAACCTGATCTTTCTTTTCTCAAGTCCAGCAATTGAAAAGTCCAGTCCATGTAATACTTCTTTCGAGCCCGCTGTAGTTTCTGGTGTGCGGAAATCTATTTGAATTGTGAAAAGAACATATGCTTTGGCGTCGCTTGAGGAAATTTGAATACGATTCTTTCTTCTGTGGATTTACGGCCATAAAGGTACGAACTGGAAAATTGACAATTTAGATTTTAGGTATCAAGTGGGGTTTCTTTAAAAATCATGAGATGGAGCAAAATTGACTTGTGAAAAAATATCCACTGTGTGTAAAATAGCACAATGAAAAGAGCATTTTGTGAAATTGTCACAGCTGTAGGACTTCTTCACGTCGCTACAGTGGTAATTTATTTAAAACTGTACCATCAAGATGTTAAATCAACAAGAATTTTAACGAAGGAAGAGGAATTGGAGGGACGAATTAAAGGTATTTCTTCGAGTATCAATGATATTTCAACCAAATACTCTGGACTCAAGGACGTACGTTCGCAATGCTCTCAGCTGACATTTTCATTCGCTTCTCATGTCACGCAACCAACCCTCCACACCAACAACACAAGTATTTTCCTTTTGGTTTTAATCACATCTGGAGTTGGAAAATTGTATTCAGAGCGACGAAATAGTGTCCGTAACACATGGGGTGATAAGTCGATTAAAAGTGGCCAGAGAAACTGGGAGCGCGTCTTTGTGATAGGCAAAGCTCTTAGCGCCGAACAGTCTGAAGAAATTCGCCAAGAAGCGGCCTTTTTTGAAGACATTCTTGTGCTGGACATGACGGATAGTTACAAAAATTTAGTGATTAAGATTTTGTCTGAGTTGCTATGGAGTTTGATTCATGTAAACCCACGTTTTATCCTCAAAGCAGATGACGATGTTTATGTTCATGTTCCTGGACTGCTATCATGGCTGGATAATTATGCAAATAATAATTATGCAAATAATAATTATGCAGGGGATAAATTATACGGCGGTTTCGTTATTGGCGACGGTGAAGTGAGACGAGGAGAGAAAAGGAAAAACCGCGTTGCGAGAGACTGTTTGGCAAAAGATTTCTATCCTCCTTACTGCACGGGTGCTTTTTACGTCCTCTCAACTGATATTCTTCCTTCACTATTTAAAGCAGTGGAGAGAAGACCAGCATTCCCTGTTGAAGATGCCTACATGGGTATCTTAGCTCAAGAAATTGGCCTTCAACCGGTAGATATACCCGGTTTTTATTTTAGGAAAAAAGTGACAGATTATGGAAGGTGTGACTTTGCTTCTGCAATAGCTGTAGGGCATAATCTTGGGTTGGTGGAGTTTATTTTTGTAGCAAAGAACCTAGAACAGACAAAAAAACTTCCAAAAAGTTATTATGAATGTTTCTTGATGTATGAATGGGTGGGTTTTATATTTCTTTTAATATTCCTGATTATTTTGGTTTTTCTTATGGTTATTTTTGTGAAATTCCTATCACATCTGAGAAGAATCTTGTATGGTATATATCTCAAGGTATAGTGTAACAAGTAATTTGACTTACACCTGATTGTCACAATGTTTTTTGTGGCATTAAGTGAATATGGTGCAGTAAGAATCACTTAGTTAGTTCTTCTGTAAATACAATGGTTCCAATAGGAGCTCTCATATCTCATAAAGTGGACGACCTCAAATAAATTTTGAAATTGAAAATGACCCCACTGGTTTAGAGCTCTGTGCTTTTTCTCATCGTGGCCATTTTGAGAGCGGTGCAGCAAGAATCACTTTGTTAGTTTGGCTGTAAATATGACAGTTCCAGTGGGAGCTCTCATGTCTCTCACACTGGCCTCAAGTTAGTTCTGAAAATGAAAATAACCCAACTGGTCTATAGCTCTGTGCTTTTTCTTGTGGTGCCCATTTTGAGAGTGGTTTCACGTACTGTCTGAAATGAGCTACCCAATAGCTGTGCCAAAGGGCGTCGGTGTGTGTGTGTGGGGGGGTTCCGGGGCTTCCTGTGAACCCCCCTTTGAGAGCCTTTTTTGAAAATGAACCCACCAGTCTAAAGCTCTGAGCTTTTTCTCATCATGCCCATTTTGAGAGCGGTTGCGCATCAGGAGCCATTACCACTCCTGTTGCGCATACTATGTCTAAAACAAGCTGCCCAATAGCTGTGCCAAAGGGCGTAGCTGGGGAGGTGGGTGGGAGGAGGAGGGGGTCTTGGGGTGCCTGTGATACCCTTTGTAAGCCTTTTTTGTCACATAAAGGAAGACACGGTAGAAAGGTTAACATGACAATCTTGTGAGTACCCTCAGTTTGGCACAGTGTAATCCCCCCAACCTTTGAAAAATCCTGGCTATGCGCTCGTTGCTTGTCGTAACGTTTGAAAAAAAAAACGCCATGTCCGATCGCTTCCTGACTGGTCCCTTAATTAAACTTATATGGGAGCCCTCTAGGGACGAGTTAGTCGAACGAATTTCGTTGATAACATGATGAGTCACACAGTTTCAGTTCTTGTATGCTCCCAATCAATGCAAATTATGTTCTAAGATGTCATCTAAATATCTATATTCTAGTTTGTATTAAAAAATTGAGAATTTAGATGTACATGTGGATAAAATGCGGTGTGCATTATATTAAATAATAAAGTATTGGTATTTTTAGATTGACATGAACATCAACTATCCATTAAGTCCAATTTTGTATCCTTTGATTACTCAACGCTGGAAGCCAATCAAAGAAGGAAATCTGTAGGAAAAGCAAGCGTTTACCCAGTGTTGACTCAGCAAGGGAAAATTCAGTCGATAACAGATGGCAAACCCCTTAAATAATTGCAAATTGGAATTTTGAATATGTAAACCACGACCTAATTATATCTGTGCTATACGTGAGATAACATGGAAAGCTGCTGAACACGGCATGTTATAAAACAGGTATCTTACTCCATTGGTTTTCACTCAGTTTTCTCGCTCTGGTCTCGTTCGTAGCTTTATTTATTTGAAATACTTTGTAACCGCGTTAGCTCTGTTTTAAATTTTTTTTTCTTCGTATTTTTGCGGACTTGTGTATCTGTTTTGATCTTAAAAAGCAAATACTTTGTAGCCGCGTTGGCTCTGTTTTAAATTTTTTTTGCTTCGTATTTTTGCGGACTTGTGTATCTGTTTTGATCTTAAAAAGCACTAAGCTGAATTACATGTATACAAAAATTTTCATAAGAGCAGTTTCGTTACGGAAGTTTATACTGAACCGTGCTATATTTCTGTCTGTGAATTCCAACTACTTCTTTATTCATTCCAATTAAAATTGATCAAGGTATAGTAAAGGTGATTTGTGTATTACACACTTACGTTGCTGTTTTCCTCGAGAGGACATTTTAATTTCTTTATTTACCGCTAAATTTCAGATTTCAGTTAACCTTACAAAAATTTTTAGGACTAATTAATTGGGCCTCGACTCTTCATCTTGTAGCTTATGTCATTTAACTTTTAGGTATGCGTTTGGAAAATGGATATTTCCGCATTTGTGATGGTTTTAACATTCGCTTCGTCTTTTCTTGAAGGAAAAGGTAAGCCATGATATATATATAATTTTTTTTTTTTTTTATGGAAGACTGTCACAGTTTTCATATCGGTGCTCGGCTACTGGAAATGATGGAAATCGGGGTATTTAAATTGAATAGATGCTGAACTTAGACTTAAAGGTATGGAAATGACCATGTATTTAAAAAAAGACAAAAAACGAGGGATCAGTGATAAAGGAAAAAATCGTCTGACTATTTCACCAGAATCAAAGATTAAAATAAATGCTTTGCGCACGATTATCACTTTGTTTCAAGTTAATTTTCGTGCGATTAACTGACATCGAGAAACTACCTCTCGCTGAAATATAATTTCTTAATCATTTAGAACGAAATATTAAGGACAACATAAATTGGCTCCATGATATAAAAGCTTTCGTTTAGCTGTAAATAATGAATGTACACAATGCATTTGATATTTGCATTCGACACTCTAACCGTTTAGCCGCTCTTGACTCATATTTCTCCTATTTCTTGAACGGAGGTTGATTGCACGTGAAATATTCCTTGATTTCTCAAGACTTCGCTGATTCTATCTTAAATTGCATTGTAAGGTTCGAAGCACCGAAGACATGATGATCCTGTAAATTTCCGAAGGGCTCAAAATTCAGGATGCTTTATCATCACTTCGACTATTAATGTTCCATTACTGGAGAAAGAAATAAAAGGCGATGTAATGGTCACATATCAAGTTGTATCCAAGCTACAGTGTGAAGATCTGTGCATGAGAACTCCACAATGCCAAGGCTTCAATTATGGAGAACAAAAGTGTGATATTTTGAGCAAAATCTACGACCCACACGAAAGGGAAAAGAGTGTCAGCATACGAGCCGTAATGAAAAAGGTAATAACTCGTTTTCGCATTAATCCATCAGTGTTCTATCACAAATGCCGAAATCTGATTGATTACGCTACTTGCTGTCTATTTAACAAACAGATTCTATAATGCCGTGGGTCCGTACAGGAATAGATCGCCGGGGACTGAACAAAAAAGTGGCACACACGGCGCAGACGGGTGTACCATCGATATTCCTACCACATTTTGACATCTTCTACGATCCGTCCCAGTACAGACCCACGACAACATGGATTATATCTGTTTCTTTATGATGACGAAATGTTGTTAATGATGACGTCATCCATGCGTCTATCCTTCAATAGCTTATAAGTAAGAACCAATCAAAAAGCATATATAATTCAGATTGCTATATAGTGTATTAATAATTTTTATTATTATTAATTATTAATAATTATTAATATTGTATAGTGTATCATCGACGTGATGGTCACGACCAATTCCTAAATTATTCCTCTACTTTTTGCAGCTTCTCTTGGGCAAAGATGAATGCGCTAAAAACACATAAATACCGAAAAATAACTAAATACAATAAAAGGACATGAAAGACAACATTATTCACCGAAAGGATGTCGAAGTTTGACAAGGAAAAAGTTTGAGATTGTTATTTTGCTTTACGCATAGCTTTATTACAGCGGTCAGTTGAAACAAAGTTTTGATATATGCGTGTAGTTTAGGAATTTTTAGCAATGGAGGGGTTCTCTGTCGGAGAAAAGTTAAAACTTTATAAACAACATAACAATTACTGGGTTTCTGGCGTGATTTAAGATAAACATTTTCATGTTTTCAAGAAGCCTTACCATCAAGGTTTCATCTCTGATTTACTATGATGAATTAGTTACAAGATATGTTTTATTGTTGGAAAATAGTTTTTAATCGATGTTTGTCAATATCATTATCATCACGAAGTTATCTGTGACTATTTTATTTAATCAGAATATTTTCTATTATAAAAATTTCCCTTAATTCCCTTTAAACTTGTGACAGCGTTTCACAAAAGTATTCTACCTAATTCGAATGTTACGACTGTTTTATCAAAAATAATTAAATTTCTAAAATGTTTACGTTGAGATAATCCCGAGGTTTGACAAACCAACAGTAATAATGCAGTTGAAATGAATCGTGAACAGCTTTATGATTAAAGATGATGGCCACTGCCGATAGCTTTGTTGTCCCTCAAATCTAAGATCACGCAAAACTGAAATGGTCATTGGGTAAAACTGGAGTTTAGGATCGTAAAAAAAAACTTACGAAGGAGATATACAAAACCGCCACTTTCCGGCGAATGCTAGGATGCACTAACATATTCTTCGTCCTGCTCGGACAAGGATGATAATTTTCCCTCGTTTTTCACTTTTAAAACCGCCTTGATATACTGTATCACGGCCTTGTCAAGCCAAGTCAAAGGGAAAACAGTAAAAAACCCTCCCTCGTAAAATCCAAGATGGCCACCATGATGAGTCACGACAAACACTGCTGATTCATTACATTCTAAAGACAGAGAGGAAAAAAAAGGCAAGTCAAGTATTAACAGTCCCGTGGACTTCATTTCCGAGGCTTCTCCTTGCTTTCCTATTATGAAGCGAATAGGGGTGTATTACTACTCTTCCTGGGGGGATGTTAGTTTATCGTGGGCAACCCCACTCCCCTCACCCCTGCCCCGGAGGTTCAACAAGTTTTCCAACCTAAAAATTTGCTGGTAAACAGATATACTCTGACTGGATCGAGGCATAGTGACGGAAAAGTTTTAGTTTCGCCCTAGAACACAAAACTGAGCCCGGCCTGAGATCTTCTCCATATTTCTCCATAAGTCCACCCCCGTCAGCGATCAAGATGCCTAGTTATCCACAAAATCTCCTCTAGCGCAGCGCCCCGACGTATGGGAGGGGCTTTGTTCGAGCTCCGCCCCCAAGAAGTAAAACTGCATATCCTGTTTAAGAACAAGGCCTCGTAAAAGGTTCCTTTTGTGGCGGCATATAATGTACCTGTCAAGACCATATAATAGAATTCCTTATCACTAATTAATGGTCCAAACACCTAATACTTACTGACGTGGTTGTATGGCGTATCAAACAGTTCCTCAGGTATGAGGGGATCGTCTGAGGCATTTAAAAGAAATACTGGGATCTTAATCTGTGAAGAGAAAACACGTAGAAGAAAACGATAACTATACCAAAACAGAGAAAAAAGACAAGAACAAAAACTACAGAGAGAGGTTACCTGGTTTATATAGTTACAGGAACTGTTGACAGCATAAAACTCGTCCAAATTATGGAATCCCGCCATTTTTCTAGAGTTAAGGTAAGGAAAAATTCAAATTCCCCCTTAATTACACAGTATCACAGTCGCACCTCTGTTACGCAGACACTTTCTAACACGCTCTTTGATTTGCCAATAAACTTAGCCACTTTCTCAAATAATTAGATTCATACAACTTGTTCACGATTTTCTGCGCTTCAGACAGTTTGCTTGATCATTTAGCTCCCATCGGCGAAATTTTTCTTTGTTCTGATTGGCTGCTGTGGTTACTATGGTTTCGCTTTCACGGCATGCAATTGAAGAGTACTCTAAAATGTTACTCACTTGACATATGCATCATCAAGCTCCACAAGGGAAGAAGACGAGCGAACATGATGAACAGATGAAGTAAATTTGGGGCACTGGAATAAAACCTTCATGTTGCGGTCGAGTACCTTTTTCACGCTTTGGGTGATGCCCCAGTTGTAGAAACGTCGTAGTCCATCCCATTCGTGAAGGAGAGTCTTTGCTCTACAAATCACGGAAGAGATCGCCAACAATACATGTGTAGCAACGTTAAAAGTTTACGTTTCACTCTTTCAACCCTTAGAATGACCAGTACCTAATTTCTTCTTACAGCAATACTGCTGAATCTTTCATTAAGATCACGAGAATAAAGGAAATGATCGCCTACCCACGAAGCTTTGATTGTTAAACAAATTCTCCTTGACAGTTCCAAAGGAAATATATAGAGGAGAATATGGGGAATATGGATACTGATTTTGGGGTGTAGAGGGTTAAATATTCATAACGTCATCTTGCCTGTTATATACCAGTCAGTCCGTGAGTCCACCTGTCCATGAATCCATTCCATAATCCATCAGTCAGGTAGACAGTTTGCGAAGCACTCAGTGAGTAACGCTCGAAACGTCAGCTTTTTACCCTTTACGGTGGCTAATTTACGTTTTCAACTCAGTTGTTAACACTTAATTACCTGCTATACTCTCCCACCGACGCAGCACCACAGTTTCTTTAGAAACTTACCCCTTTATTCACTCAGCGAGTAAGTCAGCTAAATTTGTAATTTAGTCTGTCAGTGTGAGTCAATCCATAACTTAGTTTGACAGTCACTCAGTTAGTTGATGGTCTGCCTGTCAATCAATTATTAACCTTTATACAACCCTGATATCAGTATGCATATTTTCCATATTGTGCTCCATACATTTCCTGAGGGTGCCGACAAAGAGAATTTGTTTAACAATCAAGAGATTAATTTAAGAGCTCCTTACACCTAAGACCACTACTGAACTAGTAGTTGAAAATAGGACTTGAAAAAAATTCAGGCCCGTACAGGCCAGTGCAGTGCTCTACCAACTGAACTAACAAGCCAACTGGGAGCTGGTCAATATGTTGGGTCCAAATAAACCATCAAAGTGATGAATAATGATTTTAGATATGTGAAATTCACATATCTAAAATCATTATTTAATCAAGAGCTTCTTTAGTTTGTGATCATTCCCTTTATTCTCGTGACCTTAAAGTATGATTCAGTATTGATGTTGTAAGGAAAAAATAGATGCTAGTCACTCTTATGGATCAGAGAGTCAAAGAGGTTAATCATAACCTCAATCAGTGAATCTGTAATTTGATATTAAGTAATATGCTATTCTGTGAATTTTAGTTGATTTAACTCTGAGCCCTTGAAGTGACAGGTGTACAATTTCTCTCACACCATCACTGCTAAATCTAAAAAATAGGTCACGAGAATTAAGGAAATGATTGCTTATGAAAGAAGCTCTTGATTACTCTAACTCTCCTTGCCATAGGAAATGTTTAGAAAACAAAGAGAACATGCATACTGATGTTTGGCTATAAAGTTGTAAAGGGTTAAGGCAAACCTTTTTCCTCGGGATGGAGCTAACCTTTTCTGTGTCAGCTTCAAGAAATTCCCTAGCTGGTACACTGATAAGTCATTGAAGTTATGACTAAAATTCACATTTGCAGATCTCTTACCTCAAAATATCATATCCCTGGCACACAGACACAGCACATTCAAATAACTCCTGCCTTGAAGGTTCCTCTCCTAGATATTTCATCAAAATGTTTGCACCCATAGAGAACCCGACTCCAATAAGTCGCTGGTGATTACCCACAGAGGTGATATGTGAAACCATGGCTGCTAGTTCCTCTGTACCACCTATATTGTTATTACACCAGTTTTATTAGCAACATGTTTTGGTTTTCAGTTATGTCCAACACATTTTTCAATTTCAATGGAACCATTTTCCCTATAAAGTTGAACCTGTTTTAAGCAGTCACCTTGTATCTTAGCGGCCAGTAGTCAATGTCCTGAATTTTCTTCCCCTTAATCACTGAAATTTTCACCCCAAGTAAGCAGCTATCTCTATGAAGGGGGTCATGGTCACCCTTTTCTGAGTCCCAACAGCCATTGTTTATTGTCTTCTGTCTGTATTGAACAGTCCCTTAAAGTGGAACCACTAAAATTGAATTAAGAATAATCTTTCCTATAAAATTAAATCCATGGTTATATCTCCCGAAATCAGTTAAGTAGCATGTGACTCAGTGGTGGCAAGTTTTGTGGTGGAGAGTTTGATGAGGTAGTGAATTGACTGTAAACCAAATTACATTCATTTGACAATGTCCATTAATCCAAAGAAAAATTTAACAGAAGAGCAGATAGCTAAAAATTACCATATGTGAAAATTCTTGGAGTGGACAATCCACCCTCTTCCTTTGCTCCCAAATGATTTAAAACAGCAACTTTGAAGCCATGACGAATGGCGTAGTCAGCAAATGTGCGCACATACTTTGTCTCAGAACAGTTAGCAATTCCTGGGACTGTGATGATTGTAGGCTTCTCCTTGGATCATTCAAAAAAGGGAAAGTATGTTAGTTCTGTACACTGTTACCTGTTGGTTGTCCTGACTGACACTCTCTTGTCACTGAGATTACAAGACTTTTGTTCAGAGCTGCTCATCTCACCTGACCACTCTTAACTTTGTAAAAACTCCCCAACATGAAACAACTGTATATTTACTAGCAAGGTAGCTTTTATTTTTTTTAGGGCTGCTCATCTCATCTGACCACTCTTAACTTTGTAAAAATTCACCAACACAGAAAAACTGTATATTTATTTGCAAGGTGGCTGTTAAATTCCCCTCCTTATCCATAATTACAGTATCCAGTCAATTCACCAAATTTCAAGCAGTTCAATAAACATCGGTTTCCTTGATGCAAACTGATCATAATCTTTGTGATATCAACATGTTTTATTGTGCTGAATGACAGTCTCTTGTCACTGAGATTACAAGATTTTTATTCAGGGCTGCTCAGCCTGTGAAACTCTCCAGGTAGTTCAATTGATTTCACTAACAAATTTGATTGAGAAATTATCTCAAATTTTATAAATAAGATGACAGACATTGGTAACAGAACATGAGCCTCAGATCAACCAAGATTTATTTAAATACACAAAAGGAACTGGCAAAACATTTTGAGTTATTCTGGCAGAAATTTACAATCTATTTACTCTTTGATCATTTTTCCCAAGGAGGTGAACTGTATAGTGTTACATTTACTCAGATCCTTGAGATCTGGCAGTGAAAGCTGCACAATGCATCCCTAAAAATCATTTACACATGGTATGCCTTGTCTTCTTACTGAAGATATTGTATGATTCTATGATGCTCTTTTAAGACCATTCATGTGTTCTAGCTGAATAATACAGCAATGTATAGTTCTGTTAAAAAATGAGTTCATTCTTGGTACAGAAAACAGGAGATACTGTCTATAAGGTGCTCATCTTATAGATTATGTGCTATATGGGAATTTAGAGGTGGACAGCCCATAAGGTGGCTCTCCTTGTCTGCTCTTTCCGGGTCAAAATGGAATTTAGAATATTCAACTTGGTTTTTGTGGAGGGAGGAAAACATGAGGACCTGTAGAAAAAACTTCTGAGCGAGGACAATCAAACCCATTGAGGCCACAGTAGTGGGACTGGTGAACACCCTCACCAATGCACTAGCCCCAAATGAATGCTGCTGTTTGTCTCATGAGCATTTCTATCTGCTCATTTCAAAACACATACATATTTCCGCTTCCTAATAATACTGCTATGACTTCAAATAAATGAATCCCTTTCCCTGTGTTTTGCATATGTAAGCAACCAAAACACCCTTAAAAAATTTAGCAAGTCAATACCTTTTTTTTTTCATGTTATACCATAACTTATAAACTCAATTATGATAAGCTCATGATTGTATACCTGTTCAACACTCAAAAGTGAATTTTTGTCAGGAGAGTAAATCTCATAAGTGACAACAGTGCCATCATGCAGCTTTGTTGTGTGTAAGGCTCCTTTCAACTCTGGGCAAGCACGTCTACCGAACAGGGCTCCTACAAGGGTTTGACAGTGGCCACTCTTTCCCCAAATGACTGGGGGGGAATACCTGTCGGTGAATAATAACTATTATTAGAGGTATATACTAAACAAGTGGAAGGCACTAAACACACACCCTCAGACAATTGGTTACTTGAACTCCAAACATCCTTTGCAATCCACTTCTGAGCAACTCTTGTGGGATTTGGAACCAAAAATATTGTAATCATTGCTGCCCAATAAAGGAGTTTAAATCAATTTTTTTTTGGTGACATTATCTCACGGTTTCAGTATATGCTAAAACAACTATTCACCTCACTGTCAGTGGTTAGGGGTTGATATTTACCTCACTAATTCCCAGCTTGGAAATATCCACCAAAAGGCACTTTTGCTTCAGTAAATAGTTGTGACCTATTAACCATTTAACTCCCAAATCAAATCTGTAATTCTCCTTACTGTCAACCATACAATTCTTAGTATGTTATTTCAGAGAATTTGGTATTGGATCAACTAATTATCCCCAAATTGATATTTTTCTTTTTTCTCATCTCTCATCTGGTGAACATTGCATTGATATTGTAAGGAGAAATTCTTTCTTGGTCACTCATGGGAGTTAAAGGGTTAAGTAAAACAACGATCCATTGCTAGTGAACTGCAATTTAAGTGATTATTGCAAAAAAAAAAGTCTGATTTCTTTCAGGATTCTTTTCAGAAAAAAAAAATGTCAAAGATCAGATTCCTTCAAAGAAAAGGTGAACTCCTAAAAAATTTGCCTTTCTTTCAATGTATGGCTTCACAACTCAGTTGTAGTAACCCAAAAAGTATTAAAAAGGCAAGAGTTTCAGTCCCATCAAAGCCTTAATTTTTTCAGGCTGCTTTTCTGCAGTTGCTTAAATTGCTGCACACTTGTGTGGATCATTGCTTTACTTCAGTTTCATCTGCAGGTCAAATGAAGTTTATTTCATTCAAAACTGAAATATAACTGTAACTATTAAGTTGTGAAAGACTAGTAGAGATATAATATATATAAAATCTCAAACCAATATCCTATTGTCAAGTAGAGATCATTACACCAAGAGAGTTTGGTTGGTCTCTGTGGTAAATGTGGATCTAATACATTGGCCAACTTGTAAATTCCTTATTAAGACATTTTATCTTTTTGCATCCACTTTTATGTAACAGCTAAAATTTAAGACTTGCCTCTTGCCTTCCTTGAATATTCAGTACCCTTCAGGTTAACACTTTCAATCCCAAGATCTCATTAGTAATTCTCCTTACTGTCAGCCAAAGAATTCTCATTATGTTAGTTTGGAGAATTTGGTATTGGATCAATTAGTAATTCCATAATTGACATTTTTCTTTATTCTTATCACTTGTATGCATGATATTGTATAGATATAGTAAGGAGAAATTCTATCTTGGTCACTCACTGGAGCTAAAGCGTTAACAGTTATGCAAACCTTGTTGGTATAATTATCACACCTCAAGAGTTAACTTAATAGGGACTCACTACTGCAAGTTTTGATGAAGATTTTAAAAAAATGACAATTTAAATTTAAAACCTCAGATTTTCAAACAACAGAGAGGAGGAGAAACGAGTAGTTAAGATATAAATGCGGCACTTTGTGCGCTATCCGGTTTTTCTTTAATAATTAATGATAGCAATATGACAGAGCGCATCGACGAAGGTCTCGCTTAGTTTGGCAAGAAATTGGACATCTTCCAAAATTATTCTTACAATAATATATCGTTCTGAGCAGTAGGAATACCATAGCCTTCTAACCAAAATTTACCATTTTACTAAAAAAATAATTTTCGTTAAAACCGGTTTCGTAAGGTTTCACAGTAAGAGTTATCTGCCACTACGAATAAGTTTTTTAAATTTCTACATTGAATATACCGGCTTCCATGTAAACAGTTTCATCTTTCCAAACCGATGATGTTTTGTGTTACCGCGAAATCGCAAAATTAGATTTAACCGATCAATACAAAGAACAGAGAAGCTTGGCAATAAAATGGCAGCTGTAATAATATTTTAAAGGATGAAAACAACTCATTACTTAATTACCATGAACCCGAATGCTGTTTTGTTATCGAAAGATATAAACACATTTGTAGAAACTTTGAATTTACGTACCTTTCGAAAAAAATAGGACACGACTCTAAGACTGTGTTGGTAAAATGGCTATCCGATGAAATTATCTTTGGAGGATGAGAAGAATCCGTCAGATTTAGGACACGAACCAGCAAAAACACAATCACAACTACAAGAGCCAAAATAACAAGATACGCCATTAGCGAGACCTCCTACTTTGAGGAACCCTCCAGAATACATGCGCTTATTGGTAACGCAACATACTACTATGTAACGCAACACTGCAGATCCCTTTCAATTCTAAAAACATTTCCGGTGAAAACTCTCAGCGTTAAAATTTATGTTGATCTGTGCAGGAAATTTATACAAGCTATCCATGAAGCATATTTAGAAAGACAATTTGCAACATAAACTTCAGACATCGGATGGTGTGAAGGGGGAAGGGGGAAGACGAGGCGACGGGCCACTTGGTCAACAAGGTGTGGTTATCGAGTCACTGGGTCTTAAAATGTTACTTAATGTTATTTCTTCATTCACCCTCTTGAACAGGATGAATTTATGTATCAGAATCCTTAAAAACTGTCTTATTATCCATCTCGGTCAAAATACCCGAAAAAATCACTCGAAACAACTCAGGAAAACAAAGGTCAGTGAACTTTATTCATCTGATTATAAATAAAATTGACCTTTGGAATCATGGACCAATATACCTCATTAGCTTGTATGTTTTGTTTTCCCAACGAAGGACTCAGGGGAACCTGGTAAATTATGCGAACCTATGCATGGTAAAAGGACGAAATTTTCAAGAGAGAGTTCTCTAGATAACCACTTTGTCGAGCTTTGTGATGCATTTTGCGGGTTCAAATGGACATTTTGGTGGGCTAAATTATATTTTATTACGCTCACACGCTCGCGTCAGTAGTTCTGGATTTTGATGTCATTGTTTTGTTTTTTTCTTTCTCAACGCCCTCCAAAGTGATATTAATTGTAGGACAGCTTATGTTCTTGGGCATAAATTATATTGTTTTCAGTATCACAAAACCTCCGTTGGGAAAACAAAACTTCAAAGCTAACCGCATCAAATAATTGACGTCACGCGGCCTCAAAACCTCGGCTCGAGGTGTCTGAATGTGACAATGCTAACACAGGTTTTCTGTGTTTTCACTCGAAGGTGATGGCTTAAGGATAAAGAAACGAGATAGACTTGATAGAAATAAAAATATCACTCATTATCGGAAATTTCAGTTTGGTGTAGCGTGGCTCAAAAGGATGAATAAAATTTCTTTTAAGCTTTTTACAACTTTATGTTCTAACTCATGATCATTTTGCAAGTTTTTCACTTATAGGTTTTTAAATGCTGATACAATTACTGTTTTGTTCTTGGGCATTACCGGCATAACTTTTATTCAGGTCCAAAATCCATATTGTTATCTATTGCTTTTGTTGCGTCGCTTTTATAAATCGTTATTGATTTTTATTTGCGGACCTTTTTAAAACCACTCTAGTTTTTGAGTAGAGCCACCTGCCCAAAATGTATTCTCATAAAATAGCTTTATATACTCCCAGGGGGTACGTTTCCAAGCGCTGTACCGGTATTGCAGAGGTCATGGGTTCAAATCCCGTACTGGGACTGAATTTTTTTCAGGCCTTATTTTCACTACTACTTACGTTGTGTTCATTGTTGCGAAGATCTCTTTCATATTCACGTCTTTATCTGCAGTTCACATATATGATTTTCACATATTCACAGTCATAATTTGGTTCATCAACTAACCTGATTATGTAAATTAGCCACCGCAGAGTTTCTTAAACTGACATTTCGAGCATCAACCCTTTGTCAAAGGCCGGAGGTTCGTCACAGGTCGCTTTTCGGCTCTTTGAGTCAATCCACAAAAAAATGCTCGTTAAAGCTGAACTATTCCTCAAGGTTTTGCATTATGTGTTCTGAACCCTGGGCTGGTTTAACCCTTCTTATTAGCCACAAAATGGTACCCTCATAACTTCTCCCCTAGTGAGGAACGAGAATTAACAAATAAAACAAAGCATAAAATAATTTTAAGTAACGTTGTACTCGATGCATTACTTATATTTTTGTTTGACAAACAAAACTCGATAAAACCACCAAGAGCATGGACCTGTTTACATAGCTACTTTTGCCGTCAGTGATGCCTCTAAAATTCGTAAGTGACCTCTCCCCAAAGTCTTCTAATCCAATAATATTCCAACGACGTTCTTCGACTCTGAAAATTTTCTTTTAGCGTCTTATATAATTTTTATTCCCTTTTTCCGCAGATCTTTCCGTGGAAGGTATTTGCCCTTATATGCGCTTTCTCGTCAACACCAAATACATCTGCAGAAGACGAACAGGGCGTGTTCTTTCGCATGGAAGAAAACGCTTTCCTTGATGACGAAAACGTTCTTCTAAGCGAAAAGGCTGACTCTGTTATGAGCTGTGCTCGAATGTGTGTAAGAGAAGCTGCTTGCAAAGGAGCAAATTTCTTGGCGAACAAAGGCACCTGTTCTCTTTTTAACGAAGGACAACAGGCAAGGAAGATGGAGAGATTCGTAAAACGGGATGGTTCTTTCTATATAGAAAAGGTATTCCTAGAATTTTGTAGATTTTTCAGATTTACGTTGTATTACCATTTCTTTCTTTATTCCTTGCGATTACAAAGGAGAGGAATGAGAGCCGGATATTTTAGGCAGTTTTATGCAATGGTTATTGTTCATGTTAACGTTTCAATATCGTTTTCATTGTCCTTTCCACTAAGTCGGAAATAGCGTGTTTCTCATGTCCATAATGTCACACAGCCGCTGTAAACTGATCAATAAAAGATCACTAAAAGATGGCAGTCGGCATGTTTTATCGAGCTCGAGTCCGTTTTGGAATTATGTTTAATTTTACATTTGTTTCAATACATTTTCAAGTTTCGGTTGCCTCAAAAAATACTTCCCTTTTTATGTTGTGCCCGTCTACTTGAATCAGACTTTTTTAAATGACCCTTGGACGATTTTCCAACTATTGACCAAAAAATTCGACGAAAGAACGACAGTAACGAAAAGGTGATAAAACCGAAGCTTAAAAATGAATATCTTAAAGAAAAAAACCCTACCTTTAGCTTTTACAGTCAATCAACAGAAAACTCAAATCTTAAGTTGATGAAGATCAGGTAATCAGGGCAAACATTTTGAAAAAGTGACCAGAAAAAAGACTTTTTTTGTTTGTCTTTTTAATCGAAAGTGGTTTTTTTTCAAATCAATGTTCAGATTAAAATGTAGCTTACAAGCTATGAATGTAAGTGAAAGTTTCTTACTCACGCCAAAGTTTACCTCTTTTTGGCTCACTTAATAGGTTGTCTCTCAAGAAGTCTCTAGTCCACAAGGTATGTGATTTTTGTTTACAGCAAATTTGTCCTCGCACAAAGCTCCGTTCATAGTGGCTAAAACTGGATTTCGTCATTTTTAACACACCAATTCCTCAAATAAATGATACTGCCACACCTTTTGGCGTGCTCGGCAGAATGAGTCACCAAAAAATACCTATTCCGTCTCTAAATGTCACATTTAACACAACAGCCATACAAAAACAACTTTTTTTAGGTTTATGTACCTATAACTAATAGCAAAGTACGGAAACCATTTTCTTTTATCATAGGAAAGAACACGCCTGCACCCCGTGGCTTAACCCAGCATTCAGCAGTCCCATCATGCAAGACTCTCCTCGACCAATCTCCCCCTCCCTCCACGGGTATTTATTGGATTGATCCTGATGGTGTGTCTCAGTCCAACGCTTTCAAGGCTTATTGTGACATGGAGACCAGTGGTGGAGGTTGGACTCTAGTATGGAGTTATTCCTTCACTAATTACAGTCACTTTAATGATAGTTCAAATGCGATCTCACCAAGAGCAAACTGGCCTGTTTGGCTTGATGGGTATATGCATGTTCCTGTCTCCACAACTCCTCCATTAAATGAAACAGACTACAACGCTGTGAACTTCTCACTCTGGAAAAAACTTGGCAGACAGATCCTCATCAAGAGCAACATAAACAACTGGCTGGTGTGTGATCCGGGAAATGGCAGCTTGGTGGATTGGCAGTATGGTGACATCAACTGCACGATCATTAAACATGTGACCAACACCTGCAAAGATACACCAGCACCTTCATTATTTGGCGATGGATTAGACTCTGGACCGATATTCTTTATCCACGCAAACGACCTTTATTATCTTTATTATTATTTCGATACTCTCACGGAGTATCAATGGCCTGTCCATGATCCATGTGGAAAAAGTGAGCCCAACCAGTTGAACGGCGTCGCTGAGCCTCATGGGAACATTTTCATCCGTTAGTTAACGAACTTTAGTTGTTCACCGATGTGTAACTTTTCCCGTGAGGGGTGAACGAGATCTCTGAATAAACTCACGAAAGATTTTACACTTTCTCTGTTTCAAATAATTCATTAACGAAGTTCAGATTCTCTTGGCATGCGACTTAATTGCTGCTCGATCTCCCCTGCAAAGCTTCTTCTTGAAAGTTACTCTTTTTAAGATCAATAAACCTTCTGCTATTCGCATGGAAAAGCTTCTTTTTCTAACCGGATGTAATGCCATCTTATCTTCTCTGGGATAGATGATTAAAATGGCTCCGCATGCCGCATTTGTCGAGGGAACCTTTGAACGAATGAAGGCAAAACAGACAAAACTCTTCAAGGAAAGAAAACAAAGTAAAACGAAATGTAAATCATTGAAAAACGTAAAGGATAACATTTCAATTTTTTTTTTGAAATTTGGATTACTATTTTATGCTTTTTGCATGCCCTTTCAACACGTGCACTAATGGTAGCCAACAATCTTCACTATCATCAAACTTGAAACTGATCCAATTCCGTTTTCCTCGTTAGTCCCTTCCAAAATTTCACCAAACTAATCCCAAGGTTAAAGATCGGCTATTGACCACTGTTCTCTTCGAGCATGCGCTGAAGCAGTCCTCACTTTAATGGTTAATCTGAAGATCATTGGCCTACCCATGATCCTTTTAGATGATTCTAAGGCAACCAAAAGGAGAATGTTCGAGCATGAGAAAATTATCAAGCATTCATTACTGTATGTAAATGCAACAAATTTAAATTAAACATAGTTTGAAATGGCTGGCCAATTAATGAATAAAAAATGAAACAACAGTATCTCTACAAAAAATATGCGGCACATTTTATTCAAATAATCAAATCAGATTATATACATTTTCAGGGTCTCACTGTGGAGATTTTGTTTTAGGACATGCATTTATAAAGTATTGCTTTTTTTCTTTGCACTCAAAAGGGAAATTTTCCTTGGCAAGTAATGGTGGCAGATTCTTTGCAGTCCAAAGATCAGTGGGAAGGAAGTCCTTACTGGGGGCGGTATGCCCTCTGATGACTGATAAGCCCAATTCTGGATTTACATATTCTTAAGCAGGACTTTGCTTGATTGGTCGACTCCTTTCGACGCTTGCGTTTCTCCTTAGCAGTGTTCAGTCTAGAATCTTCGAACTGCTGAGCTGCGCGTTTTGTGGTTGACCTCAATTCGACCTAGTCTGATGATATATATGTTTATATATCTATATTTCTTTAACTTTGAAAATGATTAAATTTTTGGTTTCTCGACTGTTTACTGCAACCTTTCCGATATTTTCATATTCTTTTTACCTAGCAGTCATGATAATTGCATTATAAACCTGCAGGACTTTTGCTTTTTTTATTAAAATGTCAAAACAGAATTTCGGATTAGTTTAAAACGTGTTGTTGAAAAAATAAAACGTCAAAGCTGCATTGCTCTACTCAAATAGAAAATTGCAGTTTCAAACGAAGATCACGGAAATTAATACTGACGGTGCAGATCTACTCAAAAAAGTCTTCTGTGTGTCGCGCGGTGTTTTGCCATTAAAAGAAAAGGGATGGTGAAAGTTTCTCTCCCTTTCTGTTTTGTCTGAATATTTTGTTTACAGGAAAGTAATTTATACGTTTACTAATTATAATTTACCTCAAATTTCTCTTGACAGATGTTACTACACGTCGAGTACTTATTTGCATTTGTCCTGTCCTTATCGGCGAAGACAACTAAAGGAAGGGAATATGGCGTTTTCTTTCATATCAAAGAAAACCACTTTTTCAACTTCGACTCCGAAAGCCTTTTTCGGTCTGAAAAAAACTGACTTTTTGCTTTCCTGTTCCGTTTCGTGTGCGAACCAAGGTTCTTGCAGGAGCGCAAACTTTCTGGAGAACCCAGGATTTCCTACCTTCGCGGCGGCGAGATGGAGACAAATTCAGCAGCTGATCGGCTTTTACAGCCAAATGGTTCTTTCTATTTAAGAAAGGTATTTGGCATTAATAATATGTCACGGCTCTCAGATAATAACTCAAGATAATTGATGCAGTTAAATTACCTTTCCCTACCGTCAAAAGGTTATTTTTATTTTTCACAGCGAAAACGATTTCTTTTCCGAACATCATTTCATGAAAAAAAACTTCGCACAATTTAATTCCAGTTCAACAAAATTACGAAAAGGACTCAGGATTAAAATCAACAGTGCGTTGTAAGTAAAAAAAGGAAAACGACTTTAATTAAAATCGCGTGAGCGCATATTTATAAGGTGCGCGCGCTCGGAGAATTTTGTATTGGATCAACTAATAATCTCCTAATTTATATTTATTTTCATTTTCATCACTTGTCAGCTTGATACTGTATTGATATTATAAGGTGAAGTTCTCTCTTAGTCAGTTGTAAAAGTTTAGGAGTTAACAATTCCGTCTACATGCATGGTAAGTAAGTAAAGCCTTTATACAGGCCCAAGTGGCCCATGGGGCCGGCGCTTAACTCCGGTTTCCTTTTAGCATAAAGCGGCTAGGAGTATTGCCACTCCCCCCTGGATGGGATGCTAATCCGTCGCAGGGTTACCCCCAGCATATTTGCTGGTACGCATTTGTACACCTGGGTGAAGAGAAGCACTGTGAGAGTAAAGTGTCTTGCCTAAGAACACAACTCGATCCGGAGTCGAGCGCATAACCATGAGGCCACCGCGCCTCTTTACAGCATGGGCATGGCAGTAACTGAGATGTATTACATAATTCCAATACAGGTCCACCTCACAGAAATAACCAGTCCCCACCCAGGTGAGAGCTGCAAATTATTGTCTTGATCCACTACGATATACTTTTGCTCTTTAAATTTCCCAAATTCATTGTTTTTCCAATTTTCAACTTTATAATCATAGACCAAAACACTTCTTCACCCCTGGTTCTAACCAGCACCCAGCAGTAACCTCGTGCCAGACTCTCCTCAAACAATCTCCTACTACGTCCACGGGTGTTTATTGGATCCATACTGATGGTGGATCCCAAGCCAACGCTTTCAAGGCTTACTGTAACTTGTATTTTTTTTTTTGAAACCTTTGCTTTTATTATAAAACACAATTCTATAAAACATTTCTTGCAATGCAAGGCTCATTATGCTACTCTACTTATCATTCAAGTTTTCACCGAATCAAAACAATAGCTATGGGCCGCTGCTTTACATGACTGAACGCTATAACAGCACTAACTATTATTTTGATGGTCACACTGAAAACCTTAGGCCTACCCATAATCCTCTCGGAGGAAATAGTCCTAACCAAAAGAAAAATGTTGCAAATCCACATGCTAACATTTTCATTCGAGTCGAGTAGGAAAGAGAGACTCTTTACAAATTTATGCTCAAATAACTTCCTGAAGTAAACCTTCTCGTCACAATATCAGTACCATATCCAACAGAAAAGTTTTGAAAATGAACGAACCTATCAGCAAAAGGGTATAGTTTTGATATTTCTCTTTATTTTTTAAACTGCTTTAATCAATATCTGCATAGAAGCCAAAAGTGAGAAATTTGAATCACATTTTTGAAGCTTGAGTGATGGGATGATGGCTCCACATTTGCTAAGGAATTTTTATGCAAAGTTACTTTTTCTTTTTTATCTTTTAAAAATTTCACTCAACAAATCCTGAGGCTACGGACCGATATTCTCTTGGAGCATGCGCTGAGGCATGCTATTAATTTGATGGTTGCTCAGGATATCATTGGCCTTCCCATGATCTTAATGGAAGATTGGAGCCAAACAAAGTGAAAAGTGATCATTCGAACCAGAAAACATTATCAAACATGTATTACTTTATGTAAAAAATGTAAGAAATAAACGGCAAAATGTTGGTTTGAAAGGGCTGATTAACAAATAACATATTCAATTATCCCGACAAATGCAAGGTTTACCTTTTCATTTGCATTGCCAGGTGTTTCAAACAAAAAAGATGTGTTTTTATCTCCAGTTTTAATTTTATCTCCCACCGATTCTTTTTAATTTTAACTTTGCATTTCAAATTTTTATTTTCTTCACTGAATTATTTCATAAAAGAGCTTACTGCAACCTTTCCGGTATTTCCATATTCTGTTTACCAAGAAGTCGTGATAATTGCATTATAAACCTGTAGGACTTGTGTTTTCATTTAAATGTCAAAATAGAGAGTTGTGGTGTAATTGGAAACGTATTGCTAAGAAAACAAAATGTCCAAGCTGTGTTAACAAACTCAAATAGAAAAATAGACTTTCTGACGAAGATCACGGAATCAATAAATTACAATTGGTACTGACGGTGCAAACTTATTCACAAAGGTTTGAGTTTGTCGCGCGGTGTTTTCCATTAAAATCAAAGAGTGGGTTCAAATTTCTCTCCCTTTCTGTCTTGTCTTACTATTTTGTCTGTAGGCAGGTAATTTATATGTTCCATACATTTACTAATTATAAATTTCTCTTGAGATTCTCTCGATAGATGTTTCTGAAAGTCGAGTACCTATTTGTATTCGTCTTGTTCTTGGCGGCAAAGACAACTGAAGGAGCCGAACATGGCGTTTTCTTTCAAATCAAGGAAAACACGTTTTTCAGCTACAGAGACAAAAGCCTCTTTTGGTCTGGAAAAACTGATTCTTTGCTTTCCTGTTCGGTTTTGTGTGCGAGACAAGCTTCGTGCAGAAGTGCAAACTTTCTGGAAAACCCAGGACTTTGTTACCTTCTTCGCGGCGAAATGCAAACAAGTTCAACAACTGGGCGGCTTTTACAGCGAGATGGCTCTTTCTATCTAACAAAGGTATTTGTCATTGATGACATGCCATGTTTTTCGGTGACACCTTCCGATAATGTACACCTTATCACGAACAAGTTTAAGGGCCTTCCCACACTAGCAGACAAAACTAGAATTGTCCCGTTAAAATAAAAGGACAAATTTTGTCATGACAAAGTTTTGTTTCGTCTGTTTCATCCGCATTAATGCTTTTAAAGCCGTCAAATTC